CTAAACCACAACAGCAAAACTGAGTAGACCTCTTAGTAAAAAAATGGTTCAAATTCTGCATTAATCATCGATATTTTCTGTGCTGCAAATATTTCCCAGCACAGGAAATTCAATAGGAAACCAAGAACATCTGCCTGTCATCTGAGGCTCTTGCTTGGCTAAAGGTATAGTGGAAGATGAAAACACCAGCCCCCTCCAATAAAAAAAAATAAATGCACATGCACAACCCTGTACCTGCTCCTGAGCGCCTATTAAACATATGCAAGAGCATGCATGAGCCCATTTCTCCTCGTGCACGCTCTGTTTAAAACTTACAGTTTGCATCGCTCATACAAGGTTACTTTCCAAAAGATTTGCAATTTTTCCACTATGTCAGACTCACCACCAGTAGGTGAAAATGGAGACAAGCACGTAGGACGGCCTTACACAAATATATCACCAGAATGATTGACAGTTGGGAGGACCACCTATTTTGATGATCCACCTGAATAAAAAAGACCTTGACTATATCTTTAAGTCTTCACTAACCATCAAAAGCTTGATTGATACTCGCCCTCGCTTTGCACCTTTTTGAAGATGCCATTTCTGAGACCTATCATGGAGCTACTAGGATGTCCAAATCCCTGAGCTCCGTCTAACCTCACTTCAACCTACTATTCCTATTGGAGCAGAAAAACTTGGTGTCGATTTCGGCATCATAATCAGAAGTAAATATAAAATATATTTATTTATATGCAATATATTTTTTTCTGTCATAAAAATGTATGTATTTATTCTGCGCCACTCAATGTGTTCTTTAGATCTGGGGTCTTCAACGTTTTCCAGGCCAAGGATCCCCAAGCTGAAGGTGAGATGGAGCAGGGACCCTCTAATTATATATATTGTATGAAACTGGTCCTATAGTCACTCTGCTACAGATGCTGTCCTGTAACGAAAGTAATTTCTCCCTGGGATTATTAAAGTATTTCTGATTCTGATTCCTGGTTGATGGGACAGGTGTTGTGAATGAAACGGTGCCCAGCTTGAAAGAGATCCTGTGTGTCGCTAATGTGTGCATTGATGACAGGAAGACATCTTCTGCCTCCATTTATCTGTTCACTACAGTGTGTTGAATTCATCTTAATGCGTATTTAAAGACATTACAATAAATTGAAAAAATTGCAGGGGAGAATATATATATATATTTTTTAAGACACAAAACACTTTCACTAGTGTTGCCAGCCATTTAGACATAACCCTTACAATGTTCTTTAAACAGTACCAAAGTGTCATATCTTGAGTGTCCTTCCTTGTAAAGACTTAATACAGTATTCACAAATACTTAGAAGCTGTAATAACTTTTTAGAGAAAATGTACCTACAGTATTGATCAGGTAAACTTAGCTGCAAAGAGATAAATAGACAACCCTGAAATGTTTAAGCCCCCCTTTTCTATAATTGCAACAAATTCCTCAAAAAACAACAGACATCCTCCTGGTTCCTTTTGAATGACCTTAACATATCATCACAACCCGTGACACAAATAAGCATGACTACATGTCAAAGCAAACAACTTGGCAAAGTGTGCGTGTTATAAATGACAGAGCAGGTAAAATAAACAAGCATTTAATCTGTGAAACAATGTGGATAATCCTTGGACTCATATATCCACTTCCTAAACAGCAGTTTGTATGAGAGGAAACTTTTAATCCGTCCCTCAGTTAGCATGCTACCTAGCAAGCATGCTAACATCCGTAAGCTGAACAGTTATTGAAGTAGCCACTTGTAGGGTTTATGGGTAAGAGCAACATATTAGCAGTACATTCGAGAAGCTCCTATGATAATTATGAAAAATAAAAGAGGTACATGCTGGGTGAGAGACAAAAAAAGACCTGTGTTGGTGGATCAGGTTGTTCGGTGGATGCCATCTTGCTAGCCCCAACCGACAGATCGATGAATCCCGCTCTATTGCTTTTCCTGGAACAGGCTCTACTATTGTGCACACAAATCCCTTTGGTTTAGTTTACTCAGGTTTACCAAAATTAGGATTTATTTCAAAAGTGGCTTAATTGCTGACTATCTGGCAAACTAACAGCAATGCTGTACTTAAAGTACTTTGTTTTCTTCAAGAAGTTACTCAAATAGTTAGTCCTTATTCAATTAAATAACTCATGCTGCTGTCAGTAATTTGCACATCTGTGAAATTGCTGCTATTTTCAAATATCCATTACTATGAAAATGTTAATAGCAGAATATTGGTTGTTTATCATCCAGGTGCACAGTATTGATATTGTTAAAACACTCTACAGTACAGTATTCAGTTTGTTTTCTAAAGTCCACATTGTTTGAAAATTTTTTCTATCATAATTTTGCTGCTGTAACACCTGAATTTCCTCATTGTGGGACGATAAATTGATTTCTGTTCTATAAATAAATGTAACTGACTACCCATCTCTGGAATTATAATTCAATTGTATAGAGAAAGGCCTGCCAGCGACTGTGGGAAATGCTGTGCAAAGCAGGCAGGTAAAGGGAGGACTGAGTAAGGTGATTAATGAGGCTTTTTAAGCAGGGTGGGGTTAGAACAATATTATGGGCTTTGATGAACTCATAGCTGTGCTAATATAGTTTTGCACTTCAGAACAAGCACTATCGTGGTCGTTTTGACATAACATGCATATGGTTACACCCATTTCTTTTACATTTTCTAGTTTTGTGTTTGTCGTATTTTTTTTCTTCAAAAAAAAACAACAAACAAATGTCATGGCAAGGAAAGCCAAGTATTTCAGTGGCAATAGTGCTACACAAGAGAAAAGAAAAAAAAAAAAACAAATGAAACAGAATATTGCATTCCAAAAACACCCTCACTTCCTATAAAGACACAATAAAGACTTCAAGGAAAATGTATACCAGAATGCAAGTGGGATAAAAATGGAAAAAGTTCAAGTTAAAGGTTAAATGAAAATATATGTATTTTAGATGAATAATTGATAAATTGTTGGAGAAATATCTTCTTTTTAATATTGTGTTGCATTTAATGGCACACAAGTTCATATTAATAGTTACTGTTTAAAGCAATTGCATATTATTAAGGATTGGTAAATAAATCATTTAAGAAAAAAAAAACATAGTCAAGCCTAGTTATATATATATATATATATATATATATATATACAAGTATTATTATTTATTTATTTATTTAGAAACATTTATTTGCGCCGGCTACGGTCTGCTCTTCTGGCAGTTGGGCGCCGGGCGGCTTTTCTGCTCTTGGGTCAGTTCTGTGCACAGTGTGTTGCGTTGCGCGCTGTTGGCGTCTGTGTTGGTGGGGCGGGGCCGCGCTTTTGGCCTGGGGGGCGTTTTGGGGGGGTTCCGCGGCGCTCATGGCCGGTTCGCGGCGGATGCGCGTGGGCCCCGGCGGTGGACGCGGTTGCCTGTGTGTTTTTCGGGGGTAGTGCGGTCGCGTTGGGTGTTGCGGCCGGTCGCCGGGGCTTGGTGCCGGGGGGCGGGGCGTGTTTCGGCGCTCTGTGGGGCCGGGGCGTTTCGGTCGGTGCTGTGGGGGGGCCGGTGTTCTTTGCCCGGCCCTACTTCAGCGTGGCCGGCTGCCGGCGGAGCCCGCGGACTCGCCTCCGTGGCTCCCTGGGGCGCCGGCATGGCGGTGGCTGGGGGGCTTCTTGGGGGCTGTCTCTCCTCCTCCCTTGGTGGGGTTCCAATTTCCGGGGCTGGCCCCTCCTTGGTGCCTTCGCTCTTGGGGTCCCTTTGGGCACCTGGGGCTTTGGGTCTCCCGGCGCTGGACTCAGTGCTCT